TCACAGCCTCTGTCTTACAGCCTCTGTCTCACAGCCTCGGTCTCACAATCTCTGCCTCACCTCACTGCCTCTGCCTCACATCACAGCCTCTGTCTCATAGCAGCTGTCTCACAGCCTCCGTCTCACAGTCTCTGCCTCACATCACAGCCTCTGTCTCACAGCCTGTCTCACAGCCTCTGTCTCACAGTCTCTGCCTCACCTCACAGCCTCTGTCTCACAGCTGTCTCACAGCATCTGTCTCACAGTCTCTGCCTCACCTCACAGCCTCTGTCTCACCTCACAGCCTCTGCCTCACCTCACAGCCTCTGTCTCACCTCACAGCCTCTGCCTCACCTCACAGCCTCTGTCTCACCTCACAGCCTCTGTCTCACAGTCTCTGCCTCACCTCACAGCCTCTGTCTCACAGCCTGTCTCACAGCCTCTGTCTCACACCCTCTGTCTCACAGCATTTGTCTCACAGCCTCTGTCTCACAGCATTTGTCTCATAGCCGCTGTCTAACAGCCTCTGTCTCACCTCACAGCCTTTGTCTCACAGCCTGTCTCACAGATTCTGTCTCACAGCCTGTCTCACAGCCTGTCTCACAGCCTCTGTCTCACAGCCACTGTCTCACAGCCTCTGCCTCACCTCACAGCCTCTGTCTCACAGCCTCTGTCTCATAGCCTCTGTCTCACAGTTTCTGCCTCACCTCACAGCCTCTGTCTCACAGCATTTGTCTCACAGCTTCTGTCTCACAGCATTTGTCTCACCTCACAGCCTCTGTCTCACAGCATTTGTCTCACAGCTTCTGTCTCACAGCCTCTGTCTAACAGCATTTGTCTCACAGCCGCTGTCTAACAGCCTCTGTCTCACAGTCTCTGTCTCACCTCACAGCCTCTGTCTAACAGCCTCTGTCTCACAGCCGCTGTCTAACAGCCTCTGTCTCACCTCACAGCCTCAGCAAGAGGGTGTAACGAAGTGTCAGACATCAGCACATGGCAGGCGAAGCGCTGTTGGTCCGGGTGTTTAGTGATGAAACCGAAATATCTGCAGCACAAAAAACAACCCAGATGTTCAGATTCAAACCAGCTATTGGAACAAAACCCACCTGTGAAGGTGTGGAGATAGATGGACTCACCTGTTGTGTTTGGGATGGCAGCCACAGAAAGAGATGTTCTTCAACTGGAAGAAATGGAAACATTGATCTCCCTGAAAGAAACAAGATTCAACCATTTCAAGACTATTAACCAGGATTCTATTTAAAACAAATACAATTATGTATTTATTATATTGTTTTTTAACACGAACCCTGTGAGCAGAGTGACACTGGTCCTGGACGCTCATCTTCACACCCTTCAGGCTGACCTCCAAAACACAGGCTGCAGGCGGCTGACCAGCTGACCGCCTGTTACACGCTACCTGTTAGCATACAGTCAGTGCACGCTACCTGTTAGCACACAGTCAGTACATGCTACCTGTTAGCATACAGTCAGTACATGCTACCTGCTAGGATACAGTCAGTACATGCTACTATGGGTTTAGAACCATCTACCAATCTGGATTTTAGACCCTTCTACCAAAGGTAAACTTGGATTGGGAACCTTCTACCAAAGGTAAACCTGGATTTTGGACCCTTCTACTAAAATTAAACCTGGAATTTGGACCCTTCTACCAAAGGTAAACCTGGATTTGGACTCTTCTACCAAAGTTAAACCTAGATTTGGACCCTTCTACCAAAGTTGAACCTGGATTTGGACCCTTCTACCAAAGTTGAACCTGGATTTGGACCCTTCTACCAAAGATAAACTTGGATTGGGAACCTTCAACCAAAAGTAAACCTGGATTTGGAACCTTCTACCAAAGGTAAATCTGGAATTGGAAACTTCTACCAAAGTTAAACCTGGATTTTGGATCCTTATACCAAAGTTAAACCTGGATTTTGGATCCTTATACCAAAGTTAGACCAGAATTTTGGACCCTTCTACCAAAGGTAACCGTGGATTGGGAACCTTCTACCAAAGTTAAACCTAGATTTTGGACCCTTATACCAAAGTTAAACCTGGATTTTGGCTCCTTCTACCAAAGATAAACTTGGATTGGGAACCTTCAACTAAAGGTAAACCTGGATTTGGAACCTGGATTTGGAACCTTCTACCAAAAGTAAACCTGTATTTGGAACCTGGATTTGGAACCTTCTACCAAAGGTAAATCTGGAATTGGAACCTTCTACCAAAGTTAAACCTGGATTTTGGATCCTTATACCAAAGTTAAACCTGGATTTTGGACCCTTCTACCAAAGGTAACCTTGGATTGGGAACCTTCAACCAAAGTTAAACCTAGATTTTGGATCCTTATACCAAAGTTAAACCTGGATTTTGGACCCTTCTACAAAAGGTAAACTTGGATTGGGAACCTTCAACTAAAGGTAAACCTGGATTTGGAACCTGGATTTGGAACCTTCTACCAAAGTTAAACCTGGATTTTGGACCCTTCTACCAAAGGTAAACTTAAATTGTGAAGCTTCTACCAAAGGTAAACCTGAATTTGGACACTTCTTCCAAAGTTAATCCTGGATTTGGACCCTTCTACCAAAGTTAAACCTGGAATTGGACCCTTCTACCAAAGTTAAACCTGGAATTGGACCCTTCTACCAAAGTTAAACCTGGAATTGGACCCTTCTACCAAAGTTAAATCTGAATTTGGACCCTTCTACCAAAATTAAACCTGGATTTGGACCCTTCTACCAAAGGTAAACCTGGATTTTGTTACCTTCTGCATTGCTGAACACAGCACATCATTGCCCATGTGAATCGGGACCTGGACTGAACCTAGAAACCGCACCATGAACTGCTCGAACCAGCCGTCGTTCCGGACTGCAGGACAGGAGAACAGAATGAAGCTTCTGCTCTGACGGAGCTGGCCTAGACTTGGTTCTGCAGAGCTACATACCGTGGTTCTGGTCTTTGGGCACTTTGACAGAGTAGAAAGCAGGAAAGATCCCGGTAGATCCGGTCCTCATGTTGTAGCCTTGACACCACAGATCTTCACTCTGCTTCAGCATCAGAACCGGGTCGTCCGCCTCCAGGTGCAGCTCGTCTGCATGACGGGGGATGAACCTGAGAGTAGACACAGGTTACAGGCAGGTTCCAGCATCATGGCTTGATGTTTAACCTGCAGAGTTCTGTTTGCTCACCTGTAGACCGCTCTGTGGCTCTGCTGCCGCTCCACACCATCCAGAACACAGGAGAACACACCAAACGACCCGGCACCTGTGCGCCACAGAACCACCGTTACCCTCTCAGTTTGAAGTTTGGACCATTTGTTCTTTAGCCGACTCACCTGTGGAGCTGTACTGACTGCTGCTGTTGGAGAACAGGTTCAGGAACTTCCTGCTTCTTGGAACTCCGCCCCTTCTTCCATTAGACTCCTCCTCCTCGGAGGTTGTGGCTGAAGTCACCTTGGACTGCTTGCAAACCCTTGAAATGGCAACTACCTCCCTCCTCCTCTTAACCTCCTCCTCTCTCCTCCTCTTTAAATCTTCCTCCTTCCTCCTCTTCGCCTCCTCTTCTTCTTTTCTCCTCTTCTCCTCCTCCTTCCTCCTCTCTTTAAACACAAAACAAGAGAAGGTTAAACTCTTCAACATAAAGACAAGCAGAATTTATATTTTCACTTGTGATGTTCCACACAGCCAAGTGTTTAGTTCTTGTTGCGGCTGAAGAGAACTTTCTGGAGATGATGCTTTGAGTTCTTCTAGATCAGGTGAGTCCTCACCTCAGGTACCTGAGAGTCCTGATCCTGAGGGACAGACCAACAAGTCCTCACCTCAGGTACCTGAGAGTCCTGATCCTGAGGGACAGACCAACAAGTCCTCACCTCAGGTACCTGAGAGTCCTGATCCTGAGTGATGGACCAACAAATTGGACTTGTCCTCAGTAATTTGGCTACTGATCCAGTCTGTCATGGTGAAGAATGTAAAGATCTGGATTTACTGATCCGTCTACATTCCATCCTCACCTACAGTCATGAGGTTTGGATCAGAACTGAAGGAACCAGATCCTGGACCCAAGTAGCTGAAATGAGCTTTCTGTAGGACTTTCTCGTTAAAACAAATCTCATTACCTACAGTAACTTCCTTGAGTCCTCTCTCCTTAAAATAAAGTCTCATTACCTAACTTCCTCGAGTCCTTTCTCGTTAAAATAAAGTCTCATTACCTAACTTCCTTGCATCCTTTCTCATTAAAATAAAATCTCATTACCTAACTTCCTTGCATCCTTTCTCATTAAAATAAAATCTCATTACCTAACTTCCTTGCATCCTTTCTCGTTAAAATAAAATCTCATTACCTAACTTCCTGGAGTCCTCGCTCCGCCTCCTCTCCTGCACATACTCGGGGTCTTCCTCCTCATTGGCTGACTGGTAGACTGTCTCGGTGTCGCTGTCCTCACGCTGGTTGTCCACACTGGTCTTATGGAGACAGTCCTTCAGGTCCACCAGCTGCAGCTGGGCGTGCTCGTCCACCACCAGGGTGTATTTGACAGAGTCGTAACTCAAGCCAGCTGCAGCCTGGCCCTCTGGTTCTGTTCGGTCCAACACTCCGTTCACCACAGGCTCACCTCCTGGTTCTGTCTCTGGTCTGTCCCCTCCTGCCGGACTGCAGGTGGGACGGTTCTGGACGGGCAGGCAGGGAGTCGGAGTCCCTTCCCCGTCCTCTTCTCTGATGTCGGGGTTGTCTCTGCAGGACAGGGACGGCTGCAGAGGTTCAGGTGGGGGTCCCTCTGTGTCTGAGCCCAGGGACATCCTGTTGGAACCCCCCTCGCTGCTGGACCGGGACAGAGCAGGAGGGTTGTCCTGGGTTCTGTCATGGTTCTGGCCTGAGAGGACACAGATGGACATTAAAGATGTTATTTTGTTGTTTTTCTGTAAACAAACAAACAAGCAGAGGTTCTGACCTTGGTTCTGGTTCTGCTCCTGGGTTCTGGGTGCTACAGGTGTGCGGGGGACCACCATGGCTGGCAGGTAGACCTCCTGGTTGAACAGCTTGTTGTTGGACCTGACACCTCCTCCTGCTGCACCTCCTCCTGCTCCTCTGCTGCTCACCTTCGTCCCTCCTCTTCCTCTCCCCTCAGTGGACCGTCCCTTCGGCCCGTTCACCTCCCTCTGTCTCTGGTGTGCATTCTTGTCCCTGTCCTTGGTCTTGGAGTCCTCACACAGCCGTCCGGCCCTCCGGTCCGTCCCCCTGGGCTCCACGATGCTCCTGTCCTTCATGGCTCCTCTTCCTCCTCCTCTCCCTGCTCCTCCTCCTCCTGCAGCTCTTCGTTGAGTTCTGGGTGTGCTGCAGGTCTGCGTGGTCCCAGGTCCCGGACGTTCTCGTGGTCTGACCCGTGCGTCTGAAGCCAAGGCGGCGGTCTGAGCGCTGGTTCTGCTGTTGGACCCGGCTGTGGGAGGTTTTGGTGCCGGTCGGCGCTGAGCACCGGGTCGGACTTTGTCCTCTGCTTTGGACTGGACCTCCTGAGGAGCTGGACCTCCTGAACACAAACATCAGATTATGAGTTTTTAAACCCAGACGGATTATTGGAGCAGTGAGAGGATTATTCTGCAGAACTTTTACAGAACCTGAGACTGGACCAGCACCTGAGACTGGACCAGAACCTGAGACTGGACCAGAACCTGAGCTACAGACTGGACCAGAATGAGAGATCAGAACCAGTCCTGCTCAGGTTCTGTTTGTTCATCAACAAAAATAAAAACAGCAAAGAACTTTTTAATTTATACGTATATTTAGACTTTTATACATGTTCAACCTGCAACACCTGTCCAGGTGTGTCTCCACCTGTCCAGGTGTGTCTCTACCTGTCCAGGTGTGTCTCTACCTGTCCAGGTGTGTCTCTACCTGTCCAGGTGTGTTTTTACTGTACCTGTAACATGTGGGGAGGAGGAGTGAGAGTCCCTCCAGTTCTCCTTTTTTCCTAAAGAGTTGTTGTTGATGGAGTCCTGAGGAAACAAGAGAGAAATGTTATCATCCATCTGTTCATCCAACCATCATCCATCCATCATCCATTCATCCATCCATCATCCATCCATCATCCATTCATCCATCCATCCATCATCCATCCATCCATCCATCATCCATTCATCCATCCATCATCCATCCATCCATCCATCCATCATCCAACCATCACCCATCCATTTATCATCCATCCATCATCCATCCATCATCCATCCATCCATCATCCATCCATCTGTTCATCCATCATCCATCTGTTCATCCATGCATCATCCATTCAACCATCCATCCATCCATCCATCCATCATCCATCCATCTGTTCATCCATCATCCATCTGTTCATCCAT